GGTATGGGAGTTACAACCAGTTATGAATCTTAGTGTGCCATGGTAAACAACATCCAACATATACAAGCAGCTGGCAGGAGCATTCATGTGTTACCATAATCAATGGCCAGTAGGAAAGTAAGGTGTTTTCTGGCATTCAAGATCTATTTCTGAAATAGAAACCCAGTTTTAATTTCAGTTTCTTTGTCAAGTTTTTTATAAGTGGTTTAAAAGAGAAATGTGCATCAACTAAAATTTCCAAGTATTTGTAAAAATCCGTAAACTCAATAGGAACATCAAGTGTGGATGAGATGGGGGGGGGGGACTAAAGTCTCCAGTATAGTCGGACGTACGTCAGTCCACGGAGGTCCGCATGTACCAGATTAGAGTCAAAGAGGACACCTGCAGGGTATGTCCGTGAAAAGCTAAATTTTTACGACCACATACGCGTATTTGGTGTCGCACAATAAACTGCCCGGTGACAGACTGTTTTGTATGTGACACCAATGTATTAAATTCCCCTTCTTCATCCCTGATCTGGCCTTTTCTTTTGTTTTTGTTTTTTGCCAAAAGGCAAGCAATCTCTTCTTCCTCGTCCATTGACGCCATGTCTGAAGTGGTGAGAATTGAAGGAATTTGTCATGAGCGAGTTAAAATCAAGTCCAGCGTGGCTGCGGGAGGTTCTGGAGATTTCCTGGTGGGCTGGTCTGATGTGTGGGCTGCAGGGCCAGCGCTCTGTTTTTTTTTTTTTTTTTAGAACTTTATATTAATCACATATAAACACAGAACACTGCTGCGGCTGGAGCTGCCAGCTCTTGTTTTTAGTTGGGGGGTTTTTGCGACTTGTCAATCACTCAATAGGCGTGTCAGCAAATGACCTATTGGCAAACTCAATTTGTCCCGAAGGTAAACGCCCCTTGTCTGCAGAGCTGGTCTGCAGCCGCTCAGGGTGGATGCTCGAGTATGCATTCTCAACCTTCTGCGGACAGTGCGCACAGTTTCCACACGGCTGACAGGACACATGAGTCTACTGGAGCCTTAACGGCACCAACTTCCTGTTGGAAAACAACATTCTTTTGGCCCAATAATTCTCGGTTGGGATGTCCGGATGACCCGACCGAGAATTATTGGGTTTAATACCTGGATGATTGAGCATGAACTTAACATCCCTTTGGGTTTTTTTATCAGCAGCACCAGTTTGACATGGAACAAGTCTGACTGAATGATGTCAAATGCAAACTGTAAAAGCTTGAAAACCTTGGCAACTTTGTTAGCTCGGCAATGCACAATTGTGTCGTCAGTATAGAGATGCAAGGATGCGTCAGGAATGCTTTGACCTAAATTATTTATATGAATTATAAAAAGAGTGGGTCCTAAAACTGAGCCTTGTGGCACACCATTAGTGACGGTTAAATAGCTAGAAGTACTGTTGTGTCGAACACATTGTCTCCAATCTGAGAGATGGTTAGAAAACCAACCAGCAGTGTGATTTGAGAAACCAATATCTGAGAGCTTATGGCCTAAGATGTCATGATCTACAGTATCAAAGGCTTTGGACAGGTCTAAGTAAAGTGCAGCACAGTAATCCTTAGCATTAAATGCTTCAACAACATCACTAAAAGTGTTATACTTATAATTATAATCTGTCCAGAAGTTCATGAGGTATTTTACTAACAGACAACCAGCAGTTAATGCCAAACTTTGAAGCAATAATCTTGCAATTGGAGTATGTGTTGTGAATAACTCTCAGCTACTACCACAAAAGTTTTAGCTCAAAATCTGCAAAACTGACAGAGTTGTCATTTGTCAATTTTTTAAGGTCAGTACTGTGGCAGCCATCTTGAATTGAGTTGATTCTAGTTTATTCAATAATCATTTTCTTGCAAGTATTAAAAATGTCGAGTGGTTCATGAGATATTTTGCTAAGAGACTCAAAAAGGCTAAAACGTTACCGTCCACCTTCGCCTTTTGGTGTTGGATGATATTTTCAGTGGTTCCCAACCCTGGTCCTTGAGGAACATCATCTTGCATGTTTTAGTTGTTTACCTGCTTCTGCACCTGATTTCTCTCTTGTAAATGAGTCCTCGAGGCTCAATGGGATTAACCTGTTTAAATAAAGGTTGAATGAATTTGAATAAATGGGTGGTTAACAGGCGTCTGCAGAACTTGAAGTAATTAATTCACTGAATCAGGTGTGTGGGGGCAGAGAAACAACCAAAACATCTGGTGTTCCTCAAGGATCAGGGTTGGGAACCACTACTTTAAAGAATACTTATCAGTTTTGCAACAACTTACTTCCTTTTTAAGGACCAGTTTCCGTTCTCTTCATTTCCACTTTCTAAGTCTGAACTCTGGGGTTGTGTAACATTCAGCGGCGAAGCAGCGTTGGGCAATCTGGGTCAAGACTCCGCTCACATCCATCCTCGTAAAAGAAGCGAGGCAAAACAAATAGAATACAAACCAGTTTCATCATGAACATGGCTGCTGAGAAATGAGCCAGCCTTTTACACACATACACGCACGCTCGCGCACGCACACACAGCTAAGGCTAATGGAAACCATCTGCTTTCCTTCCCGGTTTTCCTCCAAAGGCAGACACCGGGTTTCTTTTCTCTAACTCGATCTGCTGAATGTGTGAATGAGCCCATGCCTCAGAGAGGCTGGATTCCTCCCCCGCTTATCAGATTGGGCTGAAACCATTTCAAGAATGCGAAGGAGTTAAAAGGGACACTTCTTTTTAAGCTCGAAGATAACAGATAAACTCTTCAGGGCTGACTCAGCTGTGAACCAGGCGGCTGTACTGTATTGTCAGGTGTATCTCATACTGGCATCATC